CGGCGCAGGCGCGGCCGTGGGCAGCACAGCGGTACAGCGAGATCTGGGCCACTGCGCTCCGAGAGGCCACGTACAGCTGGTGCTAGGGGGCACGAGGGGCTCCAGGCTGACCGAGGGGGCCTGTGCCCGCCCCCCATCGGTCAGGGGTCCCTTCCCCACTTGAGGGATGAGAACACTGAGGTCTCAGGTCACAGGTCTAAGGCAGAGCCTACACTCAAACCCGGAGCTTCAGACTACCAAGGGAGGCGTGTGGTGGGGGCTCCCGGGCACCCCCTTGTCCATTCCACTCCTGAGCCTTCTGGCCACTTACCCTCTTGGAGGAGATTTGCATGCTGGTGACAGCGGCAGAGTCCTGAGAGAGAGAAGGGGTGCTGGGGGCTGGGGCTGAGGGGAGTGGGGTCCCCCGATGATGGGCGCTAGGCCTCACCTCAAACATGTGCAGCTCCTCCAGGAGCAGCCCCTCGTCGCTGGGCCGGCTGCCCTTGGGGACCGAGATCACCTTCAGCACCGTGCCAGCGTCTGCGGGGCGAGAGGGCCTGACTCTGTATCCCCGACAGCCAGGCCGGGCTCTCTTCCCTCCCCCTCGGCGAGGTGGGTCGGTGAGAGGCGAGGTGGGTCGGTGAGAGTGAGGGGTGGAGCCATAGGAGCAGCGCGGGGAGACCGGCACAGCCAGGGAAAGGCGGGGAGGGGGCTGAACAAGAGGAGCCTGACCCGTGCCAATGAAGAGGACGTCGTAGTGGCCATCGGCAGCTGCTACTCGGTCTGCAGCAATCTGGGTGAAGGTGTACCCGGCACCCACTTGTAGGAAGAGAGGGCGCCCCCCCAGGGGCAGGATGGAGCTGTACATGAGCGGGTGGTTCCGGGCAAACTGGATGACGTCATCAGGAAAGTCCTTGGTGGAACTGAAGGTACCAAAAGTCTTGCTGGGGCACTGGGGGTGGGAGGAGGCAGGACAGGGACATGGTATGAGGGCCTGGGGGGCAGCCCTCCACAAGGGGCCTCCCAGCCTTGGAGTGTGTGTGGGGGTTGGTGGGGATTAGGGGTTGTGGGGGGGACTGGACAGAGCCGCGTCTGGGAATCTGAGAGAAGAGGCCCGGCCTTGCCTTTGGGAATCGGAGGAGGAGACCTAGCTTCCCCCCACCCCCCAGAAGCCCTGTCTGATGAAGGTGACACCCCCACCCCCCATAGCAAAAGGTAGAAACCACATTTAACCAGGAAACCCAGGCCTAGTTCTCCACGCTGAGGCATTTAGTGGGCTGCAGTGGGGGGACCCCTGGGCTACGCACCATGCCCGGCCGGGGGTAGGGGACACGGCCCTGGTAGGACACCCACTGGTGCGTCGGCCCCTCCTTGTGTGCGAAGGGCCCCAGGAAGGCCCGGCGCACGTCGCCCATGCTGTACACGCACACGGCCGAGCCCGAAGTCAGTTTTTTATTTCTCACTAGAGGCCCAGGGCACGTCCTCTGTGGGGACGGGGCCTCGTTGGAGGAGGGCACACAGCCGGGCAGGCCAGCCAGGCTCCGGAGTCTGTGCCCCGGCACCCCGCCCCCCACTCCGTCCTCCACGCCTGGCACTCACGGAGCTGGTCAAAGTGTGTGTCACCCTCGGTGCCCGGCACGGAGCACACCAGCCGCGCCTTCAGGAACGTGGTCCACTTGTTGACCAGGCTGCGCTGGCCGCCCACGTCGTTCTGTGGGGTCAGTAGGAGGGGATGAGGGCCAGGCCCCAAAGGCAACGGGGTGGAGCGGGCCCGTGGGTGGGCTCAGGGGCTCCTCACCCGGCAGATCTGGCCGATGCGGGACACGGACCGGCGTCCCAGCGCCTGCGAGGCCTCCACCGCCGACTCGCGGAAGAAGAAGTAGATCTTATCGTCGTCGGGGTTCTCGCTCTCCGGAATCCAGAAGACCTTAACGAACTTGGGTTCTGGCCGCAGGAAGAGTGTGGGGTCAGCGCGGTCCTAGCCCGGACGCCCCGCTATTCACCCAGGTGCTGCCGCCCCCTCCTCTCACACAGCAGGCGGGGCAGCATCTGAGAGCACCAGCCTCTGAACCAAGTTCAGATGGCGCGCTGCGGGCAGAGTCCTGAAGAGCAGGGCCTGCGAGTCAAGAAGCAGCCACAAGAGGGCAGCAGAGGCCGTGGCCACCTGGGCAAGCAGGAAGCGGGATCCCGGCCAGTGGCAGCCCCCTGGGGGGTGGGGGTGTTCCCCCAGGCCAGTGGTTGAAGAAAGGATGGAGATGGGGTCTCCGGTTTTACCTCCACTCACGAATCTTATTCTCTAGCAGGAAGCAGATGCCCCACTCCTGTTGCAAACACTCTGCTGGGCCCCAGCACTCAGGGTAAACTACCCGGGCCCCTTGTCATTGCTCCCTTCAGAAATCTGTTCCTCGGCTTGTCCCTGCCCCAGGACCTTTGCACTACTTGTGCCCTCTTCTTGGAATGCTCTTCCCTCAGTCCTGCTCTACGTTGGGGATTGGCTCACATCCATCCTCAGCAGAGTGGCTTCCTTTACCCAACCTAGTCACCTTTTCCTCCTCTCTACGCTCTCGTTGGTCTCATGACCAGGAATTGATTTTATCGTGTTAGGAGGTCTGTGAACTCAAGGAGCGCGTGATACCTGTCTAGCCTTCCCCGCAGGGCCTGCCTCATGGAAGTACTTGGTGAGACCTGGCTGCCTCCATCGCTCACTTATTTTGTGGGCCTTACTCAGCACCTGCCCTGTTGGGGATGAGGGTCCCCTCCTGCCACCCCACCAGCCCCTCACCATTGAGCCAGCGGGAGTCGTGGGGCTCAGTTCGGAGACTCGGACGCTGGCCCAGGCTGCGGAAGATGGTGAAGTCCCGGCCCATGAGGTCTGCGGCCACCCCGGAATACAGCTCTTCCCCTGCAGGCAGGGCCAGGGCTCAGCCAAGCTGAAGGCTCTCGGCGGGGGGAACTGTGGAGCCCTGGGGGCTCTTGGGGGACCCCGGGGGCTCTAGGGAGGGTCTTGGGACTTGGTGAGGTTCCAGGAGTTCTGTTGGGATCACAGCCTCTGGACTCACCCACCAGCACGGAGGCGGCGCGGTGCCTGGGGTCGTAAGGACTCTTGCCCTTGCCGTCCTCCAGCCTCCGAGGGTCCAGGCGGAGCACGGGCTCCTGGGGGCGGGGAGGTTGTCACTGCCAGGCCCTCCCTCCCCCCACACCCCTCTGCTGGCTCTGGCCTTACCTCAGGCTGGTGGCCCACCTCCAGGAACGCACAGGTGGGGTGGAAGGCCCCGGTGCCGCAGGCCAGCACGTGGGAGCGGTTGTAGGCATGCAGCAGCTTCACGAAGTTCATGCACTCAGTCTAGCGGGCAGCCGGGGCAGGGATGGTGAGGCCTCTCCCGGGGGGGGGGTGGCCTTCAGGGGTTCCCGCTCACCAGTGCACCCCACCTCTTCCTTTCTTTTGCATCAGCTCAGGCAAGTACCAGCATGGGCTCCAGGGACCTAGGGGCCGTCGGTGGCCAGCCCAGCCCACCTCCCAGCAGAATGGGTACCCGGGGAAGCCAAGGTCTGCGTTGGCCCCTGTGACTCACAGGCCCCCAAGAAGAATCACATGAGCCCCCACCCTGACTCACTACCTCCCGACTCTGCCACCTCAAGCCCCTGCCCCCATCCCCCATCCCGGCTGGAACAGACAGGCTTCTGTTTGAGCGCTGCCCGCCTATGGAGTGGGGGCTGACCCTCCCGCCCCCACCCGGAGCCCACACTCACCCCAATGTCCTTCCCGGCCCAGTTGCACTCCTCGCGCCATTCCACAGGCGCTGGCCAGGCCAGCTGGGGGTGGGGGTGGGGGAGAGGGACACAGGTCAGGGCGTCCGAAGCTCTGGGCTGGGTGTCACTCAGGGGCCCCAGCCCCGCTCTCCCGGCATCGGGGTGGGCTCCCGGGGCCGCTCCCTGGGCAGCCCCGCGAGGCCGGCCTGCACCTTCTTGGCCCGCTTGCTGATGTTGTCCAGGCTCAGGGAGGCCACGTGGTTCTCCGCGCCCACAAACAGGCGCCCGCGCTCCTCGTCCACCAGCAGGGCCTCGTAGCAGCAGGTCCTCGCCAGCCGGAAGGTCCGGAGACCGTACTGGGCCTGGAGCTCTGCGGGCGGGGACCCGAGAACACTGGGCGCTTCCTTCCCCCAGGCCCTGTCCGTCTCTCTTAGGCTCACACGCGTGTGAGTTCACACACATGTGCGTTTACACCTGCAAAGGCCCACCCCGGTGCACAGCCACCCCTGCGCCCCTGAGGGGAAGGCAGGCAGCTCCTGGGCGTGCTCGGACAAGCAGCGTCTCCAGGCAGTGCACTGGGGGGCCGGGGCTCTGGGGAGGCCAGGATGGAGGGGAAGCCGGAACCGGACTCCCCGATTCAGGGAGGGCTCTGCCGTCCGGCCAGGAGCCTGGCTCAGTGCCTAGCAACCGCTCCCGGGGAGGGGTGGGAAGGGGCTCTCAGGGCCCCCACATCTCAGCTTCCCTGGGAGTAGGGATGGTACAGAGGCAGGATCTGTTGCCATGGAGACCGAGGGGTCTTCCTGGGAAAGCAGAGGGGAGTGGGCAGAGGGGCCGGGACAGGTGGCACAGCCACAGGCAGTGCCCGCCCGCCCTGGGCCCCTCCCGCCAGGTGCACCTACCTTGGAAGGAGAAGCGGAGGCGGGGAGGGCTCGGGGAGGCAGCCCCCAGCACTGCCGTCCAGAGCAGGACCAGGGCTGCGATCATGGCGGCCTCCGCCCGCCCCGGCCCGGCCCAGGGCGCTCAGGGTGCAGCAGGCTTCGGCAGGCAAGTGCCGGAGCGAGGAGCCTTGAGCCGCCCTGGACTCTGCCCCGGGATCTGGAAGAGAAGGAGTAGCGAGGGCCAGGGCCAGGGCGAGGGCGGGCGGCTGGGGAGCCCCGGGGATCAGGTTACAGCCCCAGGGGAAGGCGGCTGGGGGCGCATTCCACTTCCGAGTCCTCCCTCCCTGGAGGGTGCCCTGCCCGGCCACAATCACAGGCACACCACGCTGGGCACACCCTCGGGGTCACCCCACACTGGCAGGCACCCGCCCCACCACGTCACCCTCCCCAGTAGCCGGCCCTCCCATAGGCTCACTCACAGGCAGTAACTCACACACTGAGGGCCGACCTCGCGCCAGCCTGGGACTTGGCTGGGACAGTGGGGGACACAGACAAGGTCCCCGTGCCGGAGGGACTCAGGTCGGCGGGTTTCAGAGGTCCCAGGAGCAAAGCAAGAGTTGTGGGA